CAGTAGCTCAAGAAGGCAGCAATTCTGCAGGCTCTGAAGGCAAATTAGGGACAGTCGATAAATGCTGGCCATGCTAGCAACTCATGTGTTTCATGAGCAAATTTTTAAATAATAGCAATTCAATAACCATCCCTGGGAGCTACTGATGCATGTATGTTCTAAATATAGTAGCTCTGTTCTTAAATCAGTCTACTTTTCTGAAACTGAAATCTGAAAATGCCTTAAAAATAAAACCCTTAACTAGTGTATTATGTGAAGACTACATTTCTTTTTTGAAATATAAAATGGGAACAATGGAATTTAGGACACTGATGTGTGACAGAAAATGTACCAAGTCGTTTTCTTTAGCAAATTGAAGGTCCACAGTAGAACTGTGTAATGTTCATTCATTGGATACATCATGTATCTTTTGTTCCTTTTAATAATTAGAATTCATGTTGAAGATCAGAGGGTTACAAGTGTGAGACAAGAAGGAATAACTGGCAATCATAAGTTTATCCATAAAACTAACCTTTCTGTTTACCACCCATTAAACCAGAAAGGGTAGAAGATAAGACCGTGATGGGACAGCAAGTAACCAGGGTAAACAATGGACAGCCAGGAATTCCTTTACAAACTGGAAAGGAAGATGCTGAGGGTAGAAGTGACAGTCACAGGCCTAAGTATTTCCATTGTAACAAAGTTACATTCGGACTGGTGGAAGTTGCTTGGAAAGCCTATTTAGTGAAATACATAAGAACGAGTGCAAGAAAGGAACTCACAAGGAAAATATCACTGATCAAAATGTAGTGTTAACTACAACTCTGAGGTTAAAAATAAACACAATGATGAGTAAGGAAGATGATAGCTATGAAGGATTTTTGTTGAACAGAAATAAAAACCCTTTTTCTTCAAATGATACAGGAGGTATTCAAATTGGTGGAGAAGGACATAGTTGTTCCTCCAGAGTGTGCATTGAAAGCCTAGTTTCTAATAAACATAATAAGTGGAATGTAATGCCCATTCCGTTGCACAAAGGCATTCAGAGTATGATAATATATGGAACCACGACAGTGGTAGTTGTTCGGAAATTACCCATGGATGGAGTTGGCTTTCTCCTTGGTAATGATACGGCTAAAGTGAAAATTACAGCTTTGCATTTAATCACAGAAAATTGTTACAATGGAGTCATACCTTGAACACTGGAAGATGGTTGTGGTTGTTGGAGGTCAGCCATCTCAGCTTCAGGACATGGCTGCAAGAGTTCATCAGGACGGTGTCCTAGGCCCAACCATCTTTAGCTGCTTCAGCGATGACCTTCCTTCCATCATAAAGTCAGAAGTAGGGATGTTCGCCGAGGATTGTGCAATGTTCAGCATCATTCCAGTGAGAGCGGAAGTGCAGGGAAGTGAAGAAGTGAATGATAATCAAAGTGTGATAGGAAGGGGTAGAAAATACATGTAGAAGAATGCAACAGAAATTAGACTAGCGTAAATAATGATGACAAAATGTCAAAGATGAAGGCTCTTTATCTGGATGCATGAAATATTTGTAACAAGACAAATGAGTTGATGGTACAAATATAAATAAACGAATTGATTTAATAGCTGCTACAGAGATGTGGTTGCAGGGTGATCGGGACTGGGAACTCCATATTCAAGGGAATTCAATGTTCCAATAATACCAGCAAAAAGGAAAATAGATGGTGTAGCACCATTAATAAAGGATCGTATCAGTAGGTAAACAGTAAATAGTGCTGCAAGTACAATAGATTATGATGTGGAATCTGTATGGGTTGAAATAAGAAACAGCAAAGGAAATATGTCATGGGTAATAGCCACCTGTAGGCCCCCAGACAGCTGCTTTGCTACAGGGCCATCAAGAAATAATAGTGGCATGTAAGAAGGACATTACAATTGTCTCAGGTGATTTTATTGTGCATATTGACTGGACAAATCAGATGGGAAAGGGTAACATAGAACACTTATTTGTACAGTGCATCAGGGATTGTTTCTTAGAGCAGTATGTTGTAGAACCCACCCAGGAACAGGCTATTTCACATCTAATTTGACAAATTGGAATGCGAGATGAAGTGGGATGAATAAGAAGTCTTGTAGTTAAGGGTTTTCCATGGGCTGGGGATCACAACAGGACAGAAGTTCAAATTCATTTTGAGACACAGCAGGTCCGCAACTTAAATAAGAGCAATTACAGAGTTATGAAGAAAGTGTTGTCCATAGCAGGCTGAGAAAATATACAGACAGGAAATTCAGTGGTTGAGCAGTGACAGACATTTAAGTAAGTATTTCATAATACTCAGAAAAAAAATTACTTCAGTCAAAAAGAAGGATTCCATGAGAAGAACAGACTACGCTTGGTTAATCAAGACAGTCAAAAAGAGAAATCCAACCAAAAACTAAGATATATAAGACATAAAAACTAATGGCAGGCTAACGGATTGGGAATTTATTTTAGGATCCAGCAGCAGATGATGGAAAAGCTCATAAAGAGGAAGTAAATTTGTTATGAAAGTAAATTGGCAAGAAAAAGAAAAACAAACAGAAAGAGCTTCTATGGTACATAAAATGAAAGTAGTTAATTAAGTGTGGACCTTAGGAGGATGCAACTGGAGAATTAATTATGGGAGTCAGGGAAATGGCAGATAATTTAAGCCAATATTTTGCACTGGTCTTCATGGTGGACAATACTCAAAGATAACATCTCAAAGATATAAGGAAGATGATAACGGGAGAAAAGATCAAACATCAGTCACAATTACAAGGGACAAAGTAATTGACAATCTAATGGGCCTAAAGGCGGACAAGTCACCAGGTTCTGATGGCTTGAATCCATGAATTTTAAAGGAAGCAGCTGCAGATATAGTGCAGGCATTGGTTGAAATATATCATAACTCACTAGGTATCAGGAGGATTCTAGTGGATTGGAAAATGGCTAATGTGATGACCCTGTTCAAGAAGGGAGGGAGAGAGAGAGAAGGAAACTACTGGCCAATTAGTCTAACATGTTTCATTGAAAAAAATACTAGAATCCATTATTGAGGAAACAGCAGATTATTTAGAAAGTTTAACACAATCAAACAGAGCCAACATGGTTTTGTGAAACAGAAATCATTTTAGACAAATTAGCTCTTCGAGGGTTTATAAAGAGAAACTAGTAGATACTTAAATGTGTGAATAAAGAACTCTCCTTGTTTAAGCTTAAGACAGTTTGCTGCAAATAATTTTTAGATTAACTTTGTCAAAACAAAGGGCATTGAAAATCTATTACACCTACTCAAAATTAAGGCATTTTGCTTTTGGATAGAATGTGAGGAGAGTAAAAGATTTAAATCAGTCTCTCCCCTCCTCCCCCACCCTCTCTGTAACATCAGGAATTAGCACAAATGAAACATTCCATTAGATGAAATGCCAATGAAGAGCAGGACTTGCTATAATCAATGTGTTTAAAAGTGTTATTAACACCTCTGGAGTAGGTGGGTCTTGAACCTGGGTTCCCTGGTCCAGGTGTAGGGACACTACCAATGTGCCACAAAAGGGCCTCTTCCTACTGCACCTTGTATTCTCAGGCGGTCTCCTGAGTCTGCTTAGCTTCTGAGATCAGATGAGATCAGGCATTATCAGATTAGCGTGGACATAGGCAACACAACTTCCTTCCTTTAATTAATTAATTAACTGCATGAGTTTGCAATGTTCTTTGCTGTCACTCAATTGGACACTCACTCAGAACACAAAGTTTGCCCTGCTCCTGAAAACGCACAATAAAATATACCCCAGTATGTGCAAAATCCTTCAAACTTGAAGGTGGAGGACAGTTAGTTGCTTCCAATCTGTCCTACGATTTACGTCAGTAATTTGTTATTGCATGTGCTGTCTACAACAAAAATGTTTAAAGTCAAAGTCTTCAAAGTTGCTTCCAGTCTGCAAATTTGTCTGAAATGTTACTTACATTCTCTGCTGCGACATTTATAGCAAAAAGAAAAAAGAAACAAGAAACAAAACATACTATTCAACAGAGATAACAAGGTGTAGAGCTGGATGAACACAGCAGGCCAAGCAGCATCAGAGGAGCAGGAAGGCTGACGTTTTGGGCCTAGACCCTTCTTCAGAAAAATGCTATTCATGCTATTCAACAGCTTGTTTGAATAAGGGACTTACTTAGCAGTCGGTAAATTTTACTTAGCTTATAGCAAATTTGTTGGAGGTAGAAATAGCGTTTTAACCACAAACCTGGGATTTTGTTCAAATTTCCACCAGTACACGTTATGCAATGCAGTTAAGTTGGATTGTCAGTATTTATACCCAAGTGCAAAATCCCTATGCTTGGTCAATTTGCTTTCTTTCATCCTGATTATATAGCCACCATATTTCCACGCATGGTTCTAATTAGATGTGGCTCAAAAATTGCATGTCAAATCTCTATCAATTTCTACTTCTGAAGAAGTCCTTGTTTAAGATAGCTGCTGCAATTTTTCTCTTGGATGATGATCCTGGAGAACAACCCAAATAGAGGCGCCTTTGGAGGGTTAGACTTGAACTAAAATTCAAAGAATAAATAGACTAATAAAATCTTGGAATAAGGTTGTATGAAAGAGATTTGGCTAAATCCATTTCTAAAATCAAATTACTTCCTGTACATTTGGATATAGGTTTTATCAAATACACAAAAGCACATGTGGAAGTTAGTTACCACATCTTAATGTTTTTGAAATCACCTGGTCAACCCAACCTTTTGAAGAGCTTTATACTGGTCATGAAAGGCTACTGAGGTAGGCAGGAATATTAAATAATCAGATCAGCCATTATCCCACCGAATGGCAGAACAAGCTCAAGGGACCGAGTGGCCTGCTCCTGCTTCTACTTTGTATGTACCTTTCACTGAAATCAGTTATCAGCTGTCAGGCTGACAGACGCAAACAGCAGGGCTCTCAAATAATTCTTAAATAATTCTATGGATCAGCGAAATCTGTTAATCGTGCAGCAATTACAAAAATTTTCACTCGCCTTGTTGTGATGCAGCCACAAATACTTTAACCATTTAAATCTCGACAGATCAGGCACTTCTGTCAATCCTCTTAAAATAAAACATGGAACAAGCATTTTATTTTTATGATCGGTTAAACAAGTGATGCAACTTAAACATAAAGACACTCAAAAGCATTATTTTTTAAAGTAACATGCCAGCCTTATTCCAGCGTTGTGGTATTTGATTTAAAGCTACCTACATTTCATAATTAGAAACACAGAATCCATACAGAGTGGAAACAGGCCCCTTGGCCCATCAAGTCCACACCAACCCTGTGAAGAGTATCCCATCCAGACCCAGCCCACCACCCCATTCCCACCACACATTTACCATGGCTAATCCACACATCCCTGGACACCTAGGGCAATTTAGCATGGCTAATCCACCTAACTTGCACATCCTTGGACTGCGGGAGGCAACCAAATCACCTGGAGGAAACATGGGGAGAACTTGCAAACTCCAGATAGGCAGTCGCCCAAGGCTGAAGTCGAACCCAAGTTCCTAAGTCTTTTGAAGAGGTAACAAAGAAGATTGAAGGCAGAGTGACAGATGTCCATATGGACTTCAGCAAAGCGTCTGACAAGGTTCTGCATGGTAGACTAGTTAATAAGGTTAGATCACATAAGATCCAGGGAGAGCTAGCGAAGTGGATAGAAAATTGGCTTGAAGGTAGGAGACAGAGTGAGATAGAGGGTTGTTTTTCAGACTGGAGGCCTGTGACCGGTGGTGTTCCACAAAGATTGGTGCTGGGTTCACTGCTTTTTGTCATTTATATAAATGATTTTGAAGTGAATATGGGAGGCATGGTTAGTAAGTTTGCAGGTGACACCAAAATTAGTGATGCAGTGGACAGTGAAGAAAATTATTTGAGTACAATGGGACTTTGATCAGATGGGCCAATGGGCAGAGGAGTGACAGATGGAGTTTAATTTAGATAAATGTGAGGTGTTGCATTTCAGTAAGGCAAACCAGGGCAAAATTTATACAGTAAATGGTAGGGCTCTTGGGAGTGTTGCCGAACAAAGAGATCTAGGAGTCAGGTGCATAGTTCCTTGAAAGTAGAGTCACAGATAGACAGGATGGTGAAGAAGGCGTTTGGCATGCTTGCCTTCATTGGTCAGAACATTGAGTATAGGAGTTGGGCATCATGTTGTGGCTGCAGGATATTGGTGAGGCCATGTTTAGAATACTGTGTACAATTCTGGTCGCCCTTCTATAGGAAGGATACTGTTAAACTTGAGAGGGTACAGAAAAGATTTTCAGGGATGTTCCCGGGACTGGTGGGTTTCAGTTTTTGGGAGAAGCTGAATAGGCTGGCGCTTTCTTCCTGGAGTGCCAGGAGCTAAGGGCTGGCCTTTCCAAGTTTTATAAAATCATGAGAGGCCAAAATCTTTTCCCTAGTGTGGGTGAGTCCAAAACTAAAAGGCATAGGTTTAAGGTGAGAGGGAAAGATTTAAAAAGGACCTGCAGGGCAACATTTTTCACACAGAGGATGGTGCGTATATGGAACAAGCTGCCATAGGAAATGGTGGAAGTGGATACAATTATAACATTTAAAAAGTATCTGGATGTGTATATGAATAGGAAGCATTTAGGAGGATATGGGCCAAATGGTGGCTAATGGGACTAGGTGGGATTGGATGTCTGTTTGGCACAGACAAGTTGAACCAAGGGTCTGTTTCTGTGCTGTATGACTCTGATAAGTTTAACAATATCCTTCCTATAGAAGGCTGGCCAGAATTGTGTTGAATTGCTTTCTTGAACAACTGCAGTCTATTTGGTGTGGATACACTCACAATGCTGAATGGAGAAAGTTCCAGGATTTTGACCCAGCAACCCTGAAGTAGTGATGATAATATTTCCAAGTCAGGATGCTGACTGGCTTGGAGTGAAACTTGAAGGTGGTAGTGTTCCCATGCACTTGCTGCCCTTGTCCTTCTGGATGATAGTGGTCATAGGTTTGAAAGGCACTGTCTAAGGACCCTCGGTAAACATCTACAGTGCACATTGTAGATGGTATGCGCTGCTACTACAGAGTATCAGTGGTGAAGGGAATGAGTATTTGTGAATGAGGTAACAACAATGCAGGCTGCTTTGTCCTGGATGGCATCAATCTTCTTGAGTGTTGTTGGAGCTGCGCTCAACCAGGCAAGCGGTGAGTACTCCATTATACTCCTGCCTTGTGACTTGTAGGTAGTCAGGAGGTTTGAGGAGTCAGGAGGTTTGTCACTTGCTGCCAGATTCCTAACCTGCTCTTGAAGACAGAGTATTTAAAATGATAGACCAGTCCAGTTTCTGGTCAATGTTAATCCCGAAGATACAATAATGGAGGATTCAGCAATGGTAATGTCACTGGGGCCGGCATGGTGGCATAGTGGTTAGCACTGCTGCCTCACAGTGCCAGGGCCCCGGGTTCAATTACATCCTCGAGCGACTGTCTGTGTGGAGTTTGCATGTTCTCTAGTGTCTGCATGGGTTTCCTCCGGGTGCTCTGGGTTCCTCCAACAAGTCCAAAAAATGTGCAGGTTAGATGGATTTGCCATCCTAAATTGCCCATAGTGCCCAGGGATATAGAAATGCAAGGTTACAGAGGTAAGGTAGGGGGTGCATTTGGGTGGAATGCTCTTTGCAAGGTGTCAACTGGCCAAATGGCCTGCTTTCACACGGTTGGGATTTTGTGAATGTCAAGGGGCAATTGTTAGAATCCTTCTTGCTGGAGATAGTAATTGCCTGGTTCTTGTGTGGCACAAATATTACTTGCTACTTGTCAGTCCGTATTTTGTTGAAATTATACACGGACTGCTTGATTATCTTAGAAGTTGTGCATCGTGCTGCATATTACGCAATAATTAGTGAACATTCCCACATCTGATTTTAAGATGAAGGGAAGGTCACTGATGAAGCAGCTAAAGTTGATTGTACCAGTCAGTTGAAGATTGAAGATTGGTAGATCAGATACTGTGCCCTAGTCTGAACGAGTTGGTCCTAGTTTGAACTTATCTGCTCTGGTACAGAGACACACTTTTCTCAAAGGAGTCAATGCTATTGCTTTAAATGTTGCTGCTTATTATTGAACAACAAAGATTTAAGAAAAAATTATCACTGAAGGTCAATGGGCAGAATATTCTCCTCCCTAGTATGGTGTGAGTAATGGCAGGAAAATCCAGTCAGAATGTAAAGAATTTGATTTTCTATGACAAGAAGAATGGTTTCATTTTTCTCCTCATGCCATAAATGATAACTTCAGAATCTCACCATTGAGTGGTGACTACCATATTTCCATGTATTTGCATCTCCTACTTCCTTCACATTGGTAAGTACACTTTTGTCATGACTACCATCCCCATCATAACATCTTTTCAACACACTCACTGACTCATTCTCCTGTCTGGAGTACGCCTAACAATTCATATCGTTGAGTCTCTTCTTAATTTAAGAAGGTCTGGTGAACCTAGCCTTTAATTAATCCCCAGAAACAGGACTCAACACCAACACCTTGTCTCCTGCAACAAAATTTCAAATTTTTGCCTTTTATCTGCACTATTTCTCATTGTTTGTTGAGATTCTTTCAGATTTTGTTTAGTCAATTTACAATTAGTCAGTCTCTCTCTGAAATTTGACAAATAGATTGGAAGTATTGTTTCTGAAATTTGTTTTATTAACTTTTCTTTAATGATTTTAATTAGTTCTCTCAAATCCTGTCCATACATTAGTTCAAAAGGAATAAATCCTGAGAATTACAGCATCCTTAACGACGAATAGTAACAAAGGAATTCCCTTATCCCAATCATTAGGATATTCATGGCCTTCAAAGTCAATGCAATTTAAGATTGTGGGTGATACACAAAAAAATATGAATTTTTAATTCCCAAATAGTCATAACTTCTATAAGTATCTGCAACATAAGATGTAAGCCTTGATAGGATTTACTTTGTTAATCCATATCATGCAAGAAGCAAAAGAACTAACACTTCACCGCTACTTTTGCAGTAATTTCTCCTAAAAGCGTTGCGTCAGGAAATCTTGTGGAACATTCATAGTTATTAAAAGATACTGCTTTCCTAGTCTCCATTTTAGGTAGGGCCTAGGGTGTAATCTATTAAGACCCTGCTAAACTTAAATTGGAATTAAAAGTGCAAGTTTAATTGAGGATTAGGATTTCCCCACAACTGACACGATATTTTCCCTCTAATTTCTCCTGCTGCTGTGCAGATCTCCAAGGTCCATGTGCCACAATAGTTTCCACAACCAGAAGTCAATGCATCTGCAAACTCATCAGCATGCACAGACCATGCACAGCAGCATCAGAGGAGCAGGAAGGCTGACGTTTCGGGCCTAGACCCTTCTTCAGAATTTCTTCAGGCTGCTTGGCCTGCTGTGTTCATCCAGCTCTACACCTTGTTATCTCAGATTCTCCAGCATCTGCAGTTCCTGCTATCTCTGAAACAATTTTAACCCTACTGTGAAGCCTCTTCTAAGGATGCCTACCCTGAAGAAGTTACCCCCATTTCTGAAGAAGGGTCTAGGCCCAAAACGTCAGCCTTCCTGCTCCTCTGATGCTGCTTGGCCTGCCGTGTTCATCCAGCTCTACACCTTGTTATCTTTGAGGGAATATTGTTGACACGTATGGCATGTCTGCCAAAATTTGCCTACATCTTTATGTAAACCTGGCCAAAAGGAATATTTTAATAGTTTAATTTGATTCCCTGATACTGAATTGACTTGCCATTGGAATTTCATGAGCCACTCATAAAATTTCATTTCTATACTCAGATGAACCATTACCTGATGGACCAATGGCCATTTTTCATCGGCTGGTCTTTGAGGGGGTCTCCTTTTCCTCATTGAGACTTTATTCTTCAATTAATGACATTCAGGGATTGTTTTTGATTTAGTTTCTAAGTAAGCCATTTTGTGTAACTTGTTAACTTCCAAATCTGCAGGCTCATTTTCTCTGTCTTCGCCCTTTTCAGTTAAATTTTCAAAAATTACATCCAGTAAGTGAATTTTCAAATTACCCCCCTGTTCATAGAGACTTTTTCTTTCTG